AGCGTCTCAAAGAACAGTATTCCCTCACAGTTGGAGTGGTAAGTAAATTTTAAACTGAGAAATACATTGTCATCATACTAATTTATACTATATAAACAGCTTTCAGAATCGGTCGATAAAATGAAAGGTAGAGCTGGTGTCAATCTGACACGACAGTCACATAAAAATAAATCAACTGCATCATCAATGATGCGCTTTTTGAATATGGCGAAAAGCGAGCAAATCACTAAGCCCAAATTAAGCCCAAAGAAACGAAGCCCAATCACAGACATCCATCGCCTTGGTATCAAGAAGCTTTGAGAAGACTTTTCTCGTGGTCGCCTTGAACGCTTCCACTGGCCTCTTGTATCGAACTACAGTCGCGAAATGGAGAATGATGAAGATCAGGATGATGAAGTCCGTGATGGTTTTGGAGATCTTGATGAAGAGTTTGTGAAATGGGTAAGCGAAGGTTAAAACTCACTTTTGGTAAGCCAATTCCATTTCATCCAGTCGGTTTTCTGGTACTTTATCTTTCAACCACTTCAAGCAACGTTTGTTGTATTCTTTTTTGAGTGTTGCTGCCTTGTTATCTGCTAGAACCTGAGCTGATGTTCTCCTTGTTTTCTTCTGTCTTGATATACCAGGTGTAGGCACAATTACACGGTCTGGCTGGTTTGAAGTCTTATTTAATTCCTTTGATGACTGTTTTTCTTCTTCTGCTATCATTTCCAATGTGATCTGCTTCCTCCGATGTTTGTATTCCATCCCAATATCTCGAGTCTTCCAATCAGATATGTAGTTAAACACTGTATCTACACCTCCAACAAGTAAATCTCCTCCCATCAATTTTTTAACATCAGACGCACATGTAATATTATCAAGTGACTGTACTATTCCTTTGGCTTCATCAAGACCAAAGTAGTCTGTACTTTCGCAGTAATCGTCCTCCCCGAATATATCTTGGTAATGAAGATCAAAGATGTAAACCAACTCATCTGCAAGCTCCTCCAGAGCAGGGTCCAAGAGTGCTCCTCGCTTTTTTTTTACACTCTTACTACCACTTCCTTTGCCATCGTCTGCTGAAACCTTTGTGCCTTCTTTTTCTTTCGGATATGTGAAACCTTCAACATTAAACAAATCTTCCATCGCTTGCTTATAATTCCCTTTGCACAATCTTGGTAAATTATGGACAAGATAATCAGCGGCTTCCGAGTCGCAGTTTGAACATTTGCACGAGGGAAAACCTTCTTTCAACTCTCGCATCTGTTCAGTTAAGACACGAGGATCCTCCTTGCTGCCGGGAATCACACCAATACTGGGTTTCCGTATCATGATACACATGTAAGTTTCAGTCACTCTTATGACATGATAAACAACGTACTCACGTATTTCCCAAGGAGAGAGCAATCGCAAACAGATATGTGTAAAAGCAAACGAGTCCATTAAAACATCATCTGACATTTCATGTTTATCGTTCACATCGTCAACACTATTGGCACCTTTCACCCGATTACTTTCAACAAAATGAAGAGCAAGACCTGGATGTTTCCCTTGGCCACATCTTCCAAACAGTTGCGCTAGTTCTGCAATTTCTGTATGTCCTATGACCACCACTTCCATCACTGATGGCCAATCCTGACCTAGTCCAAGAGCATTAGTACAAGACATGATTGGAAATTTGTCTTGGGTGTATGCTTCAATATCTCGGAGCTTCTGCTTCTGTCCAGTGCAAGAATGATATCTTCGGATTAAAGAACTATTGGGGTTGTCTTCCTCTCCGGCTGTTCCTCGGAATTTGTTAACGGCTTCTAAGATGGTGTATGTTCCATTTCTTGAACTAGAATAAATGAGGGTCTTGAGGAGTTGATCATCAGGGAGTACATCCTTTTTAGCATAGATTGTTGCAAGAGCTGAGGCAGGTGCAACCCCGTACTTTATTGGAATGCGAATGATTCTGATGTTTGACCGACTGAGTTCCCCTCTCAGAATCGTGAGATCGCTTTCCTGGATGCTTAAGTTGTTCAGGATGGCGGCAAAAGGTCAAGGTGCACAGGTTGCTGACATTAATAGCAGTGGAATCTTGTTCGTAGCTAGCAGACGAATGAAGAGATCACCGTACGATGGTCGAAATTGACCTCCATCTTGTTGGCGCATGAAGGCATTAGAATGCTTCGCTTGTCCTCCTTGTACCATCCCCCACCAGTAAATCATATGTGCTTCATCGATTACTTTGAGAACCAAGCGATCCTGAAACCACTCACTAAAATACATCTTTTCAAACAGTTTATTATTCAAAAAGATCTCCGGGCTCTTTGAGCGGAAAAGACAGATTTGTATATCAGGGACCCAATATCTTGTTACTTTTCACCCTTAAAGAGTAATTCTCACCACATAGATTACACTGTATGCCCCAGCAATAATGTCCAAGACTACTTCTTCCGTGAATTTGTCCTTGGTCAAGTTTACAGAGTTAATTTGCCAATTCTTCTTCTCGGCAACCTACAAATACAACCAGAGGCAACATTCAATTTTGAACCGATTAAAAGACTCTGTCCACATACCTGATTATCACCCAAGGCGTCTAGCGGATTTATGACAATTTCTAAAGCTTTCGAATGTTTAGGAAATAGAGCTAGAACCATCTCCGCAATCCTTGTTTTTCCATAACCCGTTCCAGCCAACAAGAAGGTGTCGCGTCCTCTGACGAATGCAATGACGGCTTTGACTTGTAAAGGTTTCGCTTCGGTTTTATATTTCTTCATATGATTCTCCTTGATCAAATCAGATAACATATCATCTGTAAGAGCCAATATCTCCTCAGGAATCACAACTTTTAATCTTGTTTGCTTCGGCACTGAACTCGCAGGCGCGCGTGCAAGGTTCTCAATCGCTCTTCGATTCTTTTTAGGTGTTTCTTGATCCTTATCCGAACTTCGAAGGTTTCGTGTCGAGGAGATGACTGTAGACGCCATGACCAACAGATAATCAAAAAATCTATCAACTTCTTAATAGTGAAATCCGCGCTGGGCCTTTCGAGTTGAAGGTTTTTTTTTATTTGAGAGTTGTTCCTTGTGTCTATCTACCCAGTCTCTCCGTTGCTCCCATTCTCTCTTCAGTATCTCTGTTGTCGCTCTCTCTCTCTCTTCAATCTCTCTCTCTTGCTTGTCCAAAACGTATTGGACAAGACAACAAGATGTAACATTCGCCGCAGTGGTCTGAATGAGCATCCGAAACGTTACATAGTTTCCAATTCAGCTGGCCTCAAAATTTTATAACCAACTGATGTGATGGTTCTTAATCGACTATGTACAAGAAGCACGAAAATGTTTTGGCCAACTCAGAATTTTGGAGGGGTTGATCATAGAAGATGTACAGTGGAAGTAGTCAAAAATGGCCGAAAAAGTGAGATTTTGAAATCTAATCACGCGAAGAAGTGTGTATAAGTCGTAAGTCCCTCCTCCGTCGGTCTCGCGCGGAGGACGGACTTTGTTAAGTTAGGTTTAGGTCTGATTCCTTTTGTGATCTTTTAGTGCATGCGGCAATTTCTGCTACTGGAGGTCTTGCATTTCTTGCATCAAGTGTTAATTGGGTAGCCAATTTTGTTGTTGTAAGTCACTGTCTTTGAATCTGTTGAATTTTTTCGACGCTTTCTTAATGAGCGTGTATCTATTCATATTCAGATTCATACCTACGGCCTCTTGTTTCTGCCTCTTTGTAAGGCTATGGCCTCACCCGATGGTGATGGTGATGGTAATGTTTTCTTTGTCTTCACTATCATCTCCATCATAGTTACTCTCCTTATTGCCCGTAATTATTGGTGAACTCATATCACAAACCTTGATTCGAGTTTGAGACTCTTCAAAAAATCGTCCACTGTTGTAACTTATTTATCACTTCTTCGACATTCTTATCATGACTTATATGTGACTTCTTTATTTGTCTTTCACTTTTACATATGTAGATCATGCTTCAAAAGTTTTTCTACCTAGTTCCACCTTTTATTCTTTCTGTTTCTGTAACTGATCATCTGTTTCAAGAAAGTATTTTTTTTATCCTTACTACTTACTGGCTTTACATCTTAGGAAAATTACCTTGTCTTTCTTTTTTTTTCTCATCTTCCTCAAACATTCAAGGACTTTTAGCTACCTTACTTAGTTTGACAAGTTCATGAAGTGTCCGGTTTTACGGATTAATGGAGATTGAGACAAAATTCAAGAAGTAGATTGTTATTTAAATCAGGGGGCTACACCCAAACAAAGCAATGAAAAAAAATGACAAAAATGATTTGAACCACGGCGTATTGACCGGTATATACTACAACGTCCTTTTGTGCTACTGATTAACCAACTACATCTGTGTCAGTGAATGTTCAAGATACATGATGTCTAATTCTTTTCACAGTGCTTTTCTTGATCATACGCTTCAAAGGTTTTCAATGGTAGATATTGATATTCTATGTAGTTTACCACAATCATGGAGACAATCAATGCAATCGATCTCATCCACTTACTCTATGAATCAAGACTAAAATTGATAGGCAGATTGTAAACTTCGTTTTCTTCTTCCGGGCTCAATCTCGTCGATAGTTGCAGCAGTTGCTCCATCACATAGAGCTTGATTTGCAGCTGGTATTGTGAATTGACTCACGGCAGCGGGATTCATGACGAACACCCCTGCGAATCCTGCACCTAGATGCCATCCAATGTGACAATGTAAGATCCAAACACCTGTAGAAGGATTCGGTCAGATTATCAGATACGACAATCGTTTTTGAGTATGACAAACACCAACGCATACAAAGAGATACTACATACCTGGATTGTCGGCAACTATCCTTACTACAATCAGGCATAAGGCATCAAAGTATTTCAAACATCCATTTTGTCAGAGATATATCAGGTACGTATATCAAGTAGACAACCACTCACAAACTCGGTACGTTCCACCTGGGACGACTTGAGTCTATCATGAGGTGATGAGGAAAGATGTCATATATAAGCGACCTAACGGGTTTCTATGCTCAGAACCTTCAAAACTCGCGTCTCTTCTCAATGGATTGGTGGTATTATAGGTCAAGGTAGCAGCGACCGTGTCATTGAGTTCCCCAGTTCCGGTGGCTACGGTTTTGGCCTGCGTGAAGTGGATTGATTTAACAAGGGGACACTACAGTTTAAAGGTTGAAGTATACACGTACATCAACTCCATCTACACCCCCAAAAAACGTTAGTATATACAAAAATCTATCACATTGTACGATCATTGAGACTGCGACTCACGAAGATGGTATGGATGGTTAATTGCAGCATCGAGATTGTTGATAACAATATCATAGCATCCGTTGGTTTCCATCGTAAATGCAGCTACTTCTGAGGTATTGAGGAATCCTCGTCCTCCTGAAGTCATTTCACTTAACAAAGGTTGATAAACATAAGCTTTAAAATGACAGAATCCGATCAACACACATCAGTACCCGAAGAAAAAAAGCAAGAAAGTCAAAATGGGTTTTCAATTGCTCACTTAACCAGGTCGTATCATTGACGAAAAATCGACCTAAACTGACAGTCGTTGAGTTTTCAGTCGTGGTCGTAAATCCAAAACTTGACTCATAGTATAGCTGAAAAAAAACAATCCAGTTGATTAACTTTACGTGGACGAACTGATCTTGTAGATGATACTGAGAAATGTAACTTACGCGTCCCAAAACATTTGTACATGCGTCTTCTGGGACTAATGGTACTAAAGTGTCAGGATCTAGGTCAAGACAATCTCCAGAAACACTATCGGACCAATCGGTGGAATTTGGAGTTGTAACTGTCGTGTTGTAAGTAGTGGCTGCAGGATCGACTACTCTGATTATCGCTCGAGCGGTTGCTGCCTGTCCATCCATTCCAGGTGCAACTTGGAAACTAAATCACGAGCGGTTAAGAAAAAGAAAGCTCGTTTCTAAGAAAGTATGTAATCATACTCACGCCAAGCGACTGAGATTTCAGAAAAATAAAATTCAAAACACAATCTTCAGAAGGTTGCCATGAAGACTTTATCAAGATAATGAAATCTTACAGCAATCTGTGTCCATGGCTGCTCTAAGATAGAAAGTACTTCCAATGGTATCCTTGCTTAAATCAAGAATTACACTATACCTCTCGCCATTATCTAAACATATCATAGAAACGTCAAAGGTCAAACTTCGAAAGTAATGCTGACAATCAAATCATGTGAATTACGAAAAGGAACCCGGTGAACCGCTGTTGGTCCGGCCACTCCAGTTGCATCTGCCTCTGTCACATTGAGTGTATGCTGATCAACTGATACTCGAAAAAGAGCATGACTTCCACCTTCTATGAGGCGAAGTCTAGTTTTCCGACCAGCATGAAGATCGAATGTCAAATACTTCGTTGGGGTTGTACAAGTTGAACCAGGATCGGCATTCGTGCAATCAAAATATCCGATACCGTTGATTAAGGCTGAATTCTATTCGCTCAAGTCAATCAGAATCAGGTCTCCGTGTTTGGAAAAAAGAAATAGGCATATGGCTTACAGGAGATCTTGAAGTGGTTAAGATCAAGGAAGAAAGATCGTAAGCTTCATTTTCGTAAACATCAGACGGAATTCTAATGCTTACGGTGCTGCAACTGAACCCAGGTAACCTTCGGGTGAAAGTTGCTCTGACAAAATTAGGGCACTCAAGCTATTTGGAACAAAATCCCGGAGGAAAATTACTATTGATCAAGATACTTAGCGTGAAGATGAGATTTCAAGATCTTACTTATGATACCAATCGCTGCGGAAAGGAGGAATGTGAGTATTATCAGTTATCAAGTAGATCGTCAGGTTTTGTAGAATTGTAAGGGCTCACTTCATGAACAGTATCACATCTTGATCATAGTCAACTCCCCTTACTAACGGATCATCCACGCTATGGATAATGAGCGGCCCGGCCTACGGAGTTCAAGAATGATGAGCTAGGCTACACATATTCGGTTTTAAGAACAATCTACTTACCACACCGTCCGCGGCGTAGTTCTAAAAGGAAAAACACCAGATTAGGACACAATGTCATATAAGATGAAAGGATTGTTCGCATACCTGAGAGTGAGCATGATACCCTTTCAAAGATGCCGGAAAGTCAATGTTAATACATGCTGCAAATGAATCAATGAGCTTCCACTCACAGAATGTGCCATATTGTCCGCTGACGGTAAATGTATACGTGAAAGTGCTACCAGCTGGAATTGGGCACTGGGTCACACCAGTAACACCATCCATCCATCCCGTGCCGTTTTGGTGAAGCTATGTCGAACCGCGTGGTCAGAAAAACTTCACAGTCATATCCAACAAGGGAATTCGCTTACGCCGTGCCAATGAATAGAAACAGAGCCATTCAAGGTATTGGTAACTACAATATTAATTGTATCCCTTTGATGGAAGAGAAAACAGAACGTTAAGAGCTGCCAGAAAATCCGAACGAACAAAATACAGATAGCTACTCACCCTTCCTGCAAAGCCAAGACGGATGCATTTTTAGATGTTCTGTCAGCTCTCAGCTCAAAATCATCGCGACTTGATGAGTAATACAGCGTAAGTTGAAACACCCACATTGGCTTCTATTAAAGGCCCGGGAAACTGAGAATTTATTACAAGCATATTTCTGAATGATATCATTATCTTCCACTCCTTTGCACGCGTAACTACACTCTTCAAATGAATCTCACCTGGTATATCCATCTGGAGCCGCCGTTTCATTACTTCAAAACCCAGTCTTAGTAAGACATTCACTACAATATGAAATCAACGAATTATATGGCTTTGCATTGGACTTACGTCAGAGTCCACCTGTAGTTCCTGGTTTGAGCAGTCGAGGTAATCTTGAAGTCTGAGGAGAGATAAAGCTCTGAAGAGTTGACCTTAACAGCAGCATAGCAAGATGAGAAGAGACTGAAGAGTAATGAAGAAACTAAAATAATTCTTTGGTATGCTAAACTATTGCCTGACATCGTCATTTTTAAGGTATCACAAATACAAACTATCAAAGGCTTTATATCGCCTTCTACCACTTATCACACAGTAAAGCTAGGATGGATGGTGTTTTGGAAGAAGGCTAGTTCAAGGGAATGGTGCCATATATGGCGGTTTGAACAGCTCAGGCCGGTAACTCACTGAACAGCTTGAAGACAACTTTGTTGGCAAAAAACCCTCAGTGAAAACACGCGTCGCTGCACGCCAACGATATTCGCCGAGAAGCAGACTTTGCTGACATTCGCGGATTAAGGATGGCACATGGTTTAGCTCGTCTGAAATTAACGCTAGAGACAGTTTTGATTCGCATCTGAATGAAGAGTGAAAAACAAGAGCACGCGCACGCCGACATCTAGCCGCATGTTTCATACATGGAGCGATGGAGAGATCGATTTACATTCAGGAATTGGGGTATCCATCAATCAGTCTGCTTGCCGCAACGTTGGAACGGCTTACGAGATGGTCTATTCTGCCACTGGAAGGCCTATCAGCTTATCTGAGTCTCAATAAACAAGTCTCAAGTGCGAGTCAGCCTGCAATTTGCGTGTCATCGTGTTGTAAATTGCCAAAAACATTTCGGAAAATGAGAGTTGGTCAGATCCAACGGTGTCAGCTATACATAGGAATTTACATGGACAACGATGTAGAGACGGCACGGCCTGCTCCAGCAGCGATTGCCGAATTCTAAAAGTCCCGCACGACGTTCGCCCCCCCACACGGCGCTCCGGTGCGAACAACAATTACACAGTCAGTTCTGCGAGGAACGCTGTTTTGGGTTGTTATCTCTGGCACATCCACACCGAGATTTGCGTGGGATGTTTCAAAGCATGCGGCTAGAATAATCAGCGGATTGGAGGATGATGTGAACTTCTAAAACTATGTTGACCTAGATTGGGGATCCTCATCTCTCCTCGTGTAATCCTAACCGTCATGTCGTTTTCTTTCAAGCCGATATCTGATCGCAGAGACGCTAAAATGGCTCATAAATTCCCTCACCCTGAAGACAAAAAGGAGCCCAGATTTGACGCGAAAGTGTTTCCCTCAACTCGAAATTCGAACTTACAAAGCTATGCTCACAATCAATCATTTACCTACCTTCACCTTTGTGTGCGCCATTGCACTCCTGCTAGTCAATTCTTCCATTGCTACTCACTTTGTACACTCTCGCCCCTATGGGATTTCTCACGTTTGTAATGGCTCTATCGCTTGTTCACTCATAAATCCCAACTGGCCGACCAAAAAGAAATTCACTTGTGGAAATGTTAGTCAACGTTTATATCTATCAGTGACACATCTAGTTAACATTTTCTCAACATTTAGAAAACTGTTTCCTCGACCTCTTTTGCTTCTGCCTATCCTTACATGATGTTGGGGCAAGGAGTCTCGATGGTAAACAGTAGCTCCTGGCCCTCTTCAGTCACGCCCGAGTGTAAAAATACTAAAGCTGGCGACCGATATCAATATCGCAATGGTAATTACAAAAATTCTCTGGCTCAGTTTGATTAAATCTGGGCTGAAAAGATTTTTTTGTAAAAAAAAACAGGAGTTTGGACTGCTTACTACTCGATCGTCGCCACGTGCGGCTGTACTGGGACTGGACCACGTGCACTTCCCAATTGCACTGCTGCTACCTCCCAATCGACTAGAGCTTGCAATGTCGCAATGTTGAGCTCGATTCACCTAAAAACGTATCTCTTTACACGTAATATTTACACTGACATATACCGCAATGACAGGTTCACATTCTGTGCGATGAAAATGAAGGATGTCGTCTGCACCCACCAATAAGGTGGTCTGAAAGAAGAGTTCTAAAGCCTGTATACCTGATAGCCATACCTTATGTTCAGGTTCCATCTTTCCTGTGAAGCTTGTATCCCCCTGACCTACTCAACTACAGTCTGCTGACTCTTGCATCAAAAGGACAGCTCGAGTGCAATAACTCACTTGTCAATGATGCATATCTTGATTTCTTCTTATCTTCTGTCTTAGTTTCAAACTGGTATACAAAGTCCCAAAGTGTTGTTGATTTACATGCAAGAACCAATATACTAAAGTTTGATCAACTAGTACTCTTGAGCCAATGCACTAACCCTTTTGCACCTGCTCACTGTTGACTCAGTGTAAACATCAGTGCAGCCCCGGGTAGGGTGGTCTGTGAATTGAATTCTTACTGCTTGGATTCCCTTATGGACATCATATGCTCTACACCATAACTCGTTAAGCCCACGAAAGCTTCGCTTGGGTTTTTCCATCAGAACGGTCTGTAGAACGTTTATTATCTAGATTGTATCTTAGAGCTTTAAGTAGAAACAGCTAGTAAATCACAGACGGTAATTGAAGCAACAAATAGATACATAAACATGTAGACAAATTGTATTCTAGATTGTGATGTAGTTATGCAGTGCTTAGAAGGGGTGCTACAAGGAGCCCCATTTTTAGGCAGGTGCGCTTTTGAATCCAAGAAGTTGAAAGAAATCTTATTGAGATTGGGACATGTATCAACGGCTGAGGTTGATAATCTAGTCCACTAATTAAAAGCATCAAAAGGTGCTCGATATTTCCTAATCTATTCTTGTCCCGGGATTGGCTTGTCTATGATGTGATCCCTATACTTCTCTCGGTCGGCAATTCGGGTAGGCTAGGTTGATTTTTGTACCTTTTGCAAAACCAAGACGTAGCAGTTCTGATCAACTCAATACAACCAAAAAGATTATCTTTCTCCTTGGACATGTCTTTCAGTTCCTCCAGGCGTGCTAATTTCTCTAGGCGAGTTTTCTCCTTGGCCGCCGCGTCAAATTCCTTCCATTGATTTTCTCTCGCAGTCTGAATCTCAGGTGAGAGGTCCTTCAATCGATCAAGTAGATTAGGAAACTTCTTCATCAGCCTACTCGGCGTGCCAGGTTGATCTCGCGTCGATTCAAAAAGATCGATCATTTGAGTCCAGAAGTTTTCGGAGCGGGAAATCTCTAGATTTGCTGCTTCATCAAACCGTCTCAAGTCACTTATCAGGCGATTTTCCCCCTCTGGGCTGCTCCTATAGCTGCAAAGGTCATGATATATCAGCTTCTGATGATTTGAAATCTCAATAAATTCAATCTTGCATCTTACTTGTGAAGGGAAAAATATTTAAAGAATCGAATCGTAGCTGAATCACCTGAGATTAAGCGAGAACCTTTATGATTGAAAGAAAAACGTCTTAGTATGTATGTATAGAGAAAAAAAAGGAAGAGAAAACAAACTTACGACCTTCCGTAAAGAAATTTGCATCTACAATGTATGGAAAGCGACTAAAGGGGTCTACACGGGGTTTCCAGAATGGATTAAACTCCTCGGGTTTTGAGAAGGTTTCCACATGCTTATACATGGCTTCAAGTAAACTAATTCGCTTTTCTTCAAGAATCGAATGTTTATCAAAGAAGTCACCAAAGGTTGTTCTTAACAGATGAGAAGCGGGTTCCGGCCAATTGTTGATTAAACCTTGAAGCTCGTCTTTCTCTGGGGGAATTAGATTAAGTTTATTCAAGAACGCTCTAGCTAAAGGAGGACCACAGTTATCAAGCCCTTTTTGGGTTCTCATCGTCTTTGCTAGATTTAAATAATAATCGAAACAAATTTCGGGTTGCTTGATGCATTTTGGAGAAACAAGTACGGCATCAGAAAATCTCCAAAACTCTTGATGAACAATTTTGGGATCGTTCATTTTGAACTCTTTGATCTCCTCCGCTTTAGACCCAAATAAGTAAGCTGTTGCATCTTCATATTCTTGATTGGTTGCCATCATCGATCCATCGGTTACTTTTTCTTCAATTTCATCGATTTGTTGACTTGAGGAAGAAGGCAAATCAGTTGGTTCGAGAAGTTCTGGAAATCGATCCTTGATCTTTTTGAAATCTCCTGCTAAGATCATCTCCTTTTCGTAAGTCTCAATTAACTTTCGATTCACTCCACGTCCAGTAAATTCCTGTGAAACTTTTTGTAATCCTTTCCAGAATTCATGCAATGTGATGTCCAAATCGGCAGCATTAGACAAACCTAAAGATTTAGCAGAGGCAAGTCTGATACTTCTCATAGGATCAGATAATCCCAATTCGAGCTCTTCTTTATGTCCACCCTCTGCTGCCTTGATGAGGTCTTCTATAGCTCTAGCTGACATATCGGAAGCTGAAGGGTTAAAGAGAGATATCGAATTAAGAAATCACCATCAGCGTTTGTTAAGTTAAGAAGATAAGAGAAACAATGAAGAAATCAATTAACCAGCTCTTCGGATATCTATATCAAGATTAGGAAAGTATTCAAAAATCTCCCTGTATCTAAATCGACGACTGCGTTGCAGGGCGTCTATGAGACCTGCAATCATCGAATCCCAATTCTTTGGAAGAGTGGATAATTGAGCTTTATAAAAATTTTGAAAGAAATCCATATAAGCGGGATAAGCGGATTCCACTATTTGTTTCGATTCCACAGATCTCTCTTTAAATTTTTGTGTGAAATCTGCAAATGCAATACCTAAAAGGCTTCCAAGTTTATTGGCTTCAGACTGATCAAGTTGTGCACCGTTTAATAAACAATACATTGCCTTCATTTCTGAATTTGCTGATGTACGGAATAGAGACACTATACGTCCATATTCAAAGACTATATCAGTCGCCTTCAATTGAGGTTCTGTAACTTTTTCCTCCTTTATTCGATTGATTTCAAGTTCTTCAATTTCATTTTTTTCTAAACCTTTATTCCCAAATCCTTCTTCAGTGATTTCATTCTTATTCGCCTTTACTGTAGAGCCTTCAGATGGATTATAAATTCGATTAGATGTACTTGGAATATCAAAAGGTTCTTGTTTTAGTTGGTCTGCTATTACTGATTTATCGAGTAAATCAGATTTCGAGAGTTTTGAAGCTTTATGGAAACTTTCGATTAAATCTCTTTTGATTCTAAGACGTGAGGAAGCAGAAAATTTTGCTTTTAAAAGAGTGAACTGAAGGAGTGAAAGAATTAAAATGTAAATTAAAGTACCAGTAGGCTGCTTCATGATGTCTTAGAACGGCAAACAATGATATGACCGGGGGAGAGGGAAAAGGTGTAAGGAAATCTATGCACTTTATGCTCCCCGGGTCAATGATTATAACTAGATTGCTCCAAGCGGTTTAGTACGGCACCGGAGAAATTGTTCATCATCTTGAATCCATGAAAAAGTTACATGTTTGTTTGAAGGGTGAAACCAAAACACTGAACCCGCATCAAGTGTCATCTGATGAGGTAAGTTTTTCCTAATTTCCCAATCAACACTGAGGCTGAGCCTGAAAAGTGAATGGGATCTTGTGATCCTAAGAAAGGTTGACTTCAATATCAGGCTTGGCTTTGTCAGAGCTTCTGCGACATGTTTAAGACGAGAGCAAAGACCATGGTAAAGACTGTCGGCATGATTTAATTCTTGAAAAGTCAGATTTGGTTTCACAACGATTTCATAGCCTGTATATATGCAGGGTAATCTGTTCTGATGCAAGAAGCCTTCGGCTTAAGCTTTATCTGTCCATGCTGAAGCTTGAGGAGTAGTGCAAAACCAAGGGAGGATGATCTCTCCACTTTATTGATCTGGTTGAATTGCCGACTTATCACAAGTCCCAAATCCTCGCAGGGTACTTTCGATCTCGTAAACTCAGTGCTTCAGACACCCGAGCTTGTGAGGAAAAATTGTCTGACTAGAGGGACTTGATTAGGTTGGGATGAATTGTATCATAGATCGGTGGTGTCGTATCGGAAATTATCAAACGCTCATCAAAAACAAAACTTCAGACTTGGCTATCAGAGATTGTGTAGATTGGCCCTGAGCAGCAGCTTCAAGAATCAAATCTGAGGGCGAATGTCAGACTCCATGGGTTTATGAAGGTTATGCGATCATGCCGGTGACGGTGTGAGTTTAAGCCGAGTTATTAGATATTAAAGCTGCTGTATTTAACCTAGAATTTAGAGATTAAAGCTTAAGAAATATTGAAGCTCTGTTTACCATTTCTGATGACCATCGATTGCGAAAACTATTACCAAAACCATCATCTTCATTATCATCATCAAACCAATCCTCATTCAATAATCAACCAATGCATCTCGATCACATCTCAGCTAGTTATCTCAAGATTTGGATGATTTCAAAATTAAAACCAATGAAAGTTATGCCAAATCATCCTCATCACTTGATTCATAATCAACTAATTCGATCTTACCTACCATTTACCATCCTGTAGATGTGATGCAGATCCATCGGTCCTATCAGATTACGTTACTGCACTCTTGAGGCACGATCAACCTATCAGTCAACTTAAATCATCTTGCTTGAAACAGCTTGAAGATTTCTTGCATCAAGGTTAGAATATCCTATCCAATTCATCAAAAGGGCATCTCAAATCACTAATCACCTTGAGCTTCATAGACACCTCTTCTTTTATAGTTGACCTTTTTGAACATCTTCAGGCTTTCGATGTCAATGGAAAATACACACCACCAGATCTGACCAAGCTTTCTTCTGGATTACTCGGAAAAAGATCATACTCAATGGAAAACCTATCACCTGTCGAAAATCACTCTGACGATAATAATCAAGACCAAGCTAATACATCACTTCCAATTCCTCAATACACACCTACCCAGAGTCATCCTAGTTTTTTACTCTACCCTAATGACAATTCTCAACCATCACCACCATCGCTACCACCCTTTAACGCCTCTAATCATAGTACTCAAACTCGCTTTGGATCAAGTCCACCCAAAAATATAAGAAGTGTAAAACGAGCTCGAAAAACTGAGATTTGTCGTGATTACCATTGTGCGCGCTACTGTTATTTGGTATCTCTTTCATACTTCCACATTGATCTGAATCTCAAAGGTCTAGCAAAATTTAACTGATTTCATCTTTCAATCTATCTAGACCGAGGTTTTTGCGCCAGAGGAGAAGGTTGTCAATTCTCACATGACGAAAGAGAGGCCAATCCTTCTCCCGTGTCTCAGCTACCTGCACCTGTATTCCCTAATCAAACTCGAGGCGAAACTGAAGCCTCTGCTTCCTCACAAGGCTCTTCACGCTCGAACATCATACCTCCTCTGACAACTCAACCGTTCATCCCAGGCTTACCAACCTCTCTTCCATTCACTAGTGATGTGGTCACTACGCTCTTCCCTGTAAACTCCCTCACAACTAATAACGCTCCAAATCAGTACTCAGCACAACCCTATCGGTCTGATAATTTCAACCAAAATCCTCTAAGACCCAACAAATCTAAAACAACTCTAGTCGTCGAAAATATCCCACAAAGTTCTCTTTCAGATCGATATGTTCGAGATTACTTTTCTACGTTTGGATCGCTTGTCAGTGTGAGCGTTGATGTCTACAATGCTCAGGCTCTAGTCACATTTCAATCTGCCGAAGATGCTGCAAAGGCATATGCGTCGCCTGAGCCGGTTTTCAACAATCGGTTCGTGAAGATTCATTTTAGAAGGTTTAATTCTAGCGATCACTTTAGAAGAGATCAAGGTAGCAACTCAGATCAATCACCTCGTCAAAATGTCAATATGATTCCTTTACCACAAACTATCACACCTGGAAATTATTCTCGACCGACTTCCTTATTGAATCCTAATCCTAATAAATACCATCAGACTTCATCATATCGTCAAAATCATTCTACTGAACCTAGTTTATATCAGAAAGAACAAGAACTCAGAGAGAAGATAGAAGAGCAAAAAAAGTTAATGGAGCAATTGAGTTTAAAACAAGCGTTAAAGCGGGTGACGAGTGCTGTACCTGCTACTACCTCTGGAACACAATCACAACCAGAAACCAAAGAAACCACTCCTCAATACTCAGAACCGAATGGGGGTACTAATCCTGTATCGGAAGCTGGTAGTCAGACAAATAGAACCAAGTCTTCTGCTGGTCTGGATACTGATCTGGAAGATCGGGTGAATGGACGTGGATCGTCAGAGAATCCAGAAAGAGGTGTAGGTGCCCTCATTCAATTGAACCGTGTGAAACAGTCCAAAGTCACGACTTCACTGAAACGATTGTGTTTTCTAGTCTGTGCCTCCTTTAAATGATCTAAGTGGGACTAGCGCTCCTAATCGAGGGGGGATAGTCCGAGGAAGAGGAGGATTATCCTCAACACGTGGTGGATTTTCTGGAAGAGGAGCATGGTCTAATTTAAATAAGGCTTTCAGACTTGATAATCGGACTTGTACTTTGTCTGTACGTGATGTACCTAATTTTGAAGCTCAGGAAAAGATTCGTAAACATCTTGAGGTGGGTGCCCGTTTCTAAGTAGTATCATTCATTATTAGTCATCAGAGTCATAAAACTGATTTAATCATCACTTTTCTTTGAACATAACACAGCAATTTGGAACGATTGTAGCAGTTGCGAAGATGGAAGAGAATGAAGAAGAAGGGAAAGATGACTTTACCATCAAGTTTTCAACTAGAGCATCAGCTGAAAAGGTACGTCAAAACTACCCCAAAGAAACCTTTCTCTCTTCTTGAAGATTAATGAAATCTTTTTGTCTCTATAATAGGCATTGGCACATGGAAAAGATGTACCAGAAGTAGGCAAGATTAAGATGAATTGGATTAATCAACCTATGAATCAAAGTAATCAAGAGAATGGATTCATTCCTGGTCTTACTACTCATTGGAGTAAGAATGGAAATGGAAATGGGAATGGACATCATGATCCTTTTGTAGGAGGTGATGATGAGAATGGAGATGGAGATGGGGATGGGGATGAAGACGGGGATGGATGGAAACGCTAAGATTGGTGTTTTGAGATGATCTGCTTTTTGTTACTCTTTAGAGGTTTAGAATTGGGTGATTGGTTTTTTGGTAGTTTTTAGTATTAAGATGCATGTTGAAAAGGATAGAAAAGATAATACATGTGTTTTTTTCATGAAAATGCATTGGAATCATTTTGTCACGGTGAGGATTAACCTGATCATTTGGGGTCGAGGTGAGGGTTGTTGACCAATGATTTGGAATAGTAGAGAGATGAGAATGAGATTTTTGGAATTGTAGATTGTGAAAGCACCTATGTCAAGGTCAGAAATTGATCGGAGGAAACTTTTTGAAAGGGTTGATGATGAGCCCCTTGTATGAACTTCATAAGATGATTAGCAGAATTGAGTCATGAACAATTAACTCTTATTAAGGTTTTGGATGATTATTATATTTTTAGATCATGACTAAAACACTTTCAACATTAGATCCAACTCTTACTGCTACCAGCCATATAGTTTGTTTTACATTTTCTTGATCCTTTGATTGTGTACAATTTTTCAATAAAACATCAAATCTAAACACCATGTGTATCATACTTGTAAAGAAGTCAATGTCTAGTCTTCATTTGTGCATGTTCTTATCATACTACAGTGTCATGAACAGTTCTTTGCACTTATTCACTGTAAGAATCAGCTTATTAACACAAGTTACCCCTACAGGCACATATCTTGGATGACATGTTTGGGGTCTAAAATTGTGCTACTAGAGGCACTACACTTGAGAATATGCTACTACTATGTAACCCTCTACATCTTACCAAATACCACCATCTTCAGGTGACCTAGATAGGCCAAAGCCACCAAAAATATGGTACTGAAAAGATATTTGAAGAAGGCCCAATATAGCCACTGTAAGATCTACTGGCAGATTTTTGAAAAGTTGTGTTGTGGCCAGATTTAACTTTTGAAGTCAAAAACTCAAAAGTTATGTCACTTTGAGAGTAACTCAATTGTTCTTGTGCTAGATCTGACCAATGAGCAGTAGAGTTATCAGTCTCAAAAGAGTTTTTTGGAGTTTTTGACCTCTACATTAAATCTGGCAACAACACAATGATCTAATACTCTGCTGATAGATCTTTCAACGGCTGTAAATTTGAACCCCAAGGTCATCTTGGGATGGACTATTAGACTTCCTTGGGCTTGCCCACTTTATATTTTGTGAGAATCATACTCCTGACAGAGACATCCTTGAAAGGGGATTTTTCATATTGATCATTAAAATTTAAAGGTATGTCAGTATGTTTGTTTTCAGACAGATGGCAGTCAGGTTTTAAAGTTATACATTATCAATAGTGGCTCTCAAACCTGACCCAGTTTCAAATAGGGGATACAAAGTAGAAAGCGGGGCACGTGCCCGGAGATTGTGCTTGGAATCTTCCTTGGCCGAATTTTGGCTGTAAAATTGGGATCTGGACTTGTGGGCACATGCCCGGGCACGTGCCCGGCTTTCTACTTTGTATCCCCTAAAAAAACCCGGTTGCCACAGTGGAATTTTTGGCTGGGAGCTGTCAACAAATGTCAACTTGATACACAAAGTTACTGCCAAAAAACAACTGGGTTTTTTGAAAACCAGGGCAGGTTTGAGAGCCACTAATGTATAGTCAAGTGGTTGATCTTCATATTCCAAGTGTTCAAATCACAGCGCCAGAGCAACACACTAAATTTAAGCCCAAACCTTCAAATCCAAAAATGTGAATGTCCAGCCTCTCTGGCTTGGAGATAGCAGCCATAAACAATCATAATAAACATTCTTGACAAACATCATTGAAAACTGAACTTGCCATTTGTCAAAGAGATCAGCTCACATGTATCATACTGAGAAAGCAAGTGAAAAATAGCAAGCAATATGGTTCTGGAATTTTGATTGATGGCATTTTCATCTCACCAGAAGATATGTAGTAAAACATTGGTAGAGTACAAAGCTATGATCTTGTGGGAAAAATGTCATTCTGCTTTTTTATCATTTTGCTGAAGTTAGGTTAGCTGTCCCACTTCTAAAAGATGTCAATGAAACATTTTTCAGCTGGTGAGATATGACACAAAGGCATTAGGTTCATACTTGCATACTGGACTGCAATTTGCAAGGTTACTAGATTAGATCAGGTGGGTGAAACTTCAGGGGTTTGACAGTAATTACCTTGTTGATCCTCTTGCTATACTTTTGAAACAGGTCATACTGGGGTGATGATATTATTATATATCAATATATCAGGGGTGTTTTAATCATAGTCACAGAGTGAGTATGCTTCTACAGTGAATGTGACATGTTTTTGTGTGTACTGTGTGACTATAATCAACACCAACACCATTTGTGAACCAATTCACCCCCCAATTGATCTGTTGAATCTAGCTCATCTCTACAATAAATTTCAAGTCTTGTTACCTCTCCATAATTTGTCCTCCAATAGAATAATTATTCATTGCCATCTAACTTGACATTATTCATGCATCCATCATTTTTTAATATTCTCATCTTACTTGCTTTGTTCTGTTGTCCTTTTACAAGATGTAGGTCTATATCTAAAAGGCATATTCCAGGTATGCTTTCAATCATTTACCCAACCTGATTATTATTCTTGTCATAGTGGTTCTAAATGAGGCTGATTTTTTCTGATTAGGTCCTGATTCAGATTATGGATTTGCTTGGTCCTATAATGGTGTCAAAAAGAATGAATTTGTAAAGGACAAGTATTTAATAAATAGGGTCAAGCTTCACAACCTGCGTAATGAGCAACCCATTCCTGAACTAGCAACAAGCGGATTCACCTATGCCCATAGACGGGAAATATCAGATATTGACAAATTAGACAAATTTTCTTCTGAGTTCACAAAAGCTATGGAAGAAGATTCTGTACAACTTGTAAAGAAGCTGTAAGAGAATCTCAAGACAGAATTCTGCTTGAATAGATGGTTGAAACAAAGGCTTACCCAATCTGTTTGTGTACTCAGGACAAATGCAAAAAAGGCAGTCTGCATTTCATATGGTCACAGAGGTGTTCCCAATCAAAGCAGCATGAGGCCTTTTCCAACAATCCACTCTGATCTATCTCCCAAAGGTGCAAAATTCAAGAAAAGACAATTCCAGGCTGCTTTTCTTGATTCAAAGGATCCAAGTATAGTCGCTTTTGGGAAATCCATGAAGAAAAGAAAACGGGTTCTGATTCTCAATGTTTGGAGAACTCTTGAAACTGTAAAAGACAATCCTCTTGCTATATGTGATTGGAGATCCCTCAAGAAAGAAGATGCATTAGAATTCCGAGTCAGGCCTACACACATTGGGAATTCAGTCCAGGCATGGAGTTATGGACCTCATCAAAGATGGTTTTACTTGCCTAATCAGGAACCACATGAGGTATATGTTTTCATGCAGCATGACAGCCATGGAGAAGGAAAACATGGAATAAATGTTCCACATACTTCAATAATATTAGATGGCCAAGAAAATGACACTCCCACACGGATCAGCTATGAGTTCAGGATTGCAGCACTTATGGATGATTGATCAATCAAAGTTGTGATGAGAAATTTATATGGATCAGAAGGAAACTAACATTGCATCTCTTGGATCAATGAAAAAAATTAGGGAAAACATGAAAGAGCCCCCAAAGTAAAAGTTTGGTTGGCTTCTCATAGATTTAATCTTCTTGGGAACTATATGCTAAAGTGTTACAAGGTTTTTGGAGCTTCCATTTCTTGCAGAAACATATAGGAATCAAACTGGCAGGTAATTAGTATAGTACCAACACTGGAACCGCTCTGCTTCCAATAGTGGGAGTGGAGAGGACCCTGCAATTCCCCTACAGAGGTGTTTGACAAAAAAGGTGCTTTTTTGGGGGCAAAAATAGACTATGTGTGTGACCAAAAAGTGTTTTGTTCCCAATTTCTGCCCAAATATGTGTGATGTAAAAGTGGAGTTTTGAGCTGTAAAATTTTGATGTACATATTGTGAAAGGTGATTTTTTGACCTGCCAGGGTTAGGTTTGAGTCTTTCTGCACAGTGGGTAGAGGAGGGTGGACAATGGTGATCAGGGATTTTCAAGCCCCAAACTTTCCCCAGCCTCTCAGAAACTCTGAATTTCAATCTTCCAGAGAGCCAAAAGCCACAAACAACAGACAGCTCTCATCTACCCCACATAGCCACATATCATACACTCACTATTGAAGCCCATCAAACTCAATCAAACTTGAAATTATAAACAATAAGCACATGAGAAATGATGTCTTTTGACCAAACTCTGCAAAAGATTCTTAATATGAGATCATTCTGTGATGATGCATAGGAGATGGGTGCTATATGATTCCAAGAGCCCTACATGACATGCTTTAATATGTGCATCCTGACAGCTTGATTGGTTGCTATGAATTAGCACAATTAAAATATCAGCCCAATGGTGGGGAAATCTCTGACCAAGACTTCTAGTGTGATCCAACTAGTTTCTGTTATGCTAGTACAATAAATAAAACAACCGCTAAAGACTTCTACTGATCTCATGTAGATCACTATCTATGAGTTTGAACAAGTAGAGACGTGGGCATAGGAGCTTTACTTGATATAAACAAGTAAAGACCTCAGTTAGATTATCTTTGAACAAAGTATATTGCCTAGGGATTTCAAGTGAATTATTGTCTTTTACAATCATTAGAAATAGGAGCAACTGACTTGCAGTTCTCACAACACCACCGTGCTGCGCCTGGAATAGCACGTGCACCACCCTCACTATTGAGTTATGCTCATAGTGTGGCTTGCGCTTAGCTATAACTATTCTCAAGTTGTCATAAATATAGTGGTTTACCTATGTGCATGTTTAAGCGGTATTTTACTAAGCTATGGGACACCATAGCGCCCTCAAGCGCCATAGCCCTCCAGGCGCCCATATTGCACTTTATACAACAATTTGGGTAGTACAATCCAATTTGGAACAACACACAAACCACCAATCCCAATTCATCAGCCATGACCATCTTCAGGACTTGAAGTAATGAGTGCAGTGATTACAGTTGGAACGCCACCTGGACCACTCATTTCTGTTCATCAGATCTCTACCATCACCTCCACACCTTCAATATCAAACAACAATGGTTCCCTTGATTGCAATTATAAAAGGACTTCATGGTGAGTGGCTTCTTCACCTTCAGTCCAAATATCTTTATTTTTTGATTTTGATTTCTGATTCTGTTGCTCTTGCTATTACAAATACCAATAATAATAGTCTATCTCATCAATAATTTCTTTCTAGATCTCAATAACGTAATGTGTCCATCTGCCAATACTCAATAATACACTCAAGCTACCCTCCAAGTTGGAGGTGATCCTAGTTCTACTCTTCCACCTTCTACATCATCTTCTTGATCTCTGTTATGAGCTTGGATGGGTATCAGAGGCCAGATGAGTTCTGATATTATAACTTAGATTGTAGCATGAAGTACAACACAGGTTTGGGTGTGCGCTGAGATGGCGTGGTCACACTGTACTCAATACAAGCATAACCCAGTATAAGGTTATAACACTACCTCCCCTCTACGTCCCACTCCCTCTTGCTGAGCTGACGTCTTTCCCCAGGCTAGCATTAAAAAACCCCTGTGGGGAAAAAGCATTGCCCTCACTTTAACCGCCGTGTCCTTCTATAATTCTTGTCCGCTTCAGGATATTTTCTATCAAACTCATCAACTAATTCTCTTGCGTTCTTCAATCCACTCGCTGGTTCCCATGTGTCGTCTTCGGGCCCGTATCCCTTCCAACTCACAAGATATTCCGTTTTCATCCCCCTCTTCCTTTTGTCAAGGATTGCAATGACTTCGAATTCCTCCTCTTCGTCGATTATGATAGTGGAAGGCGGAGGTTGTAGCTGCCCGCTTACTGTGCTTGGTACATACGGTCGTAATAATCCTACAGAGAACACAGGATGAACCCGGCTCATAGACTCAGGCAGTGTTAGCTTATACGCATTAGTCGACACCTTTTCAGCGATAACAAAGGGTCCCAACCACTTATGCAAAAACTTAGCGCTTGGTCTTGTTGTGGAGATATGCCTTGAGTCCAGCCAGACTTTAGATCCCACTGCCCACTCCGGTGATTTGCCGTGACGTTTGTCGTATTGGTCCTTCATCGTCTTTTGCGCCAAATGCAGGGATTCTCTGAGTTCGTCTTGGACTTCTTTGAGTTGGCTTAACATCTCCTCCACTGCCGGGATACACTGCTCCTTTGATGGAATTCTTGAGTAACTTAAATCATATCCATAATTTGCTTTGAATGGAGAGATGCCTGTCGATGTATGCGGGCTGTTGTTATAGGCGAATTCAGCCATGTCCAGGAGCTCGTACCAGTTGTCTTGCTTGTATCCAACAAAGTGCCGTAAATATTGTTCGACAGCTTTGTTGGCAATCTCGGACTGGCCATCGGTTTGTGGATGGTACGCGGTTGATGACTGGGTTCGGATACCTAGTTGTTGATTCAGTTCTTTTGTCAGCTTCGATATGAAGATATTTCCCCTATCTGACGTAATTGATTTAGGTGTTCCATGATACTTCCATACGTGTTTAACCATTAACTTTGCCAGCTCTTCGGACGACATCGTAGTGTTGCACGGCACGAAATGACACATCTTTGTCAATCGATCGATGACTGTTAAGATGCAGTTCCTACCACTTGATTCCGGTAAGTCTGTGATTAAATCGTAACATACATCTGTCCATGGCCCTGCTGGGATTGGCAGTGGTTGCAAGGCTCCAAACGGACGAGTTGATCGGGTCTTCACTCGTTGACATGAGTGACATCCATCTACGTAAGCATTCACAAAGGCTTTCATTGAAGGCCAATGATAACATCTCTTGACTAATAATAATGTCTTCATTCGGCCTGGATGTCCCGCCAATTGGCTGTCGTGCCTCGATTCTACGATCCTTCTCTTCAACTCGTGGTCGTTAGGAATTTCTACTAGGCCTTTGAAATACAGCAGTCCGCCTGTGTATGCGTAATCCTCCCATACGCCTTCCTTCTGAGCCTCGCAAGTTGCGATCAATACTGAAAGTCTTTCATCTTTCTTCAATTTCTTCCTAACTTCATTCAATATCACACTATCATCCCAAATCAGTTTGTCTACATCATCTTCCACCTCTAATACATCATCTACCGCGTGGACTTCTTCCTCAACTTCGAAGAAATACGATATATCCTCCTCCTCCTCTTCAAACCAATTGTCCACAACGTCAAGTTCCGACACGAATGCATCTTCTGGTAGGTTTGAAGGCTTCAGTAATTGGCCCACCGTTAGCTTAACATCGTCGTGAGGCTTGTGGTCTGGTCTTCTGGATAAAGCGTCAGGCTTGGTTGAATTCTTGCCAGGTCGAAAACGAATTTCAAAATCAAAGCATGACAATGTTTCTGCCCATCGTGCTTGGCGGCGCGTGAGTTCCTTTGTTGTCATAAGAGATTCGAGGTTTTTGTGATCCGTGTAGACTATCACGCTCAATCGGTGAGGATTTCCTTCTAGATAATGCCTCCACTCTTTGAACGAGGCCACAACCGCTAACAACTCTTTGTCAAAAATCTCATAGTTTTGTTCAGCCTGAATAAGAGATCTGGACAGGAACGCAACTGGGTGTAATTCACCATCATCGTTCGAGATTTGCGACAGAACCGCTCCCAATGCAAAATCGGAGCAGTCGCACTCGAGCACAAATTGTTTATAGGGGTCAGCAATCTTGAGGATAGGTGCGCGTGTGAATGCATCTTTCAAGGCCTGAAATGCTTCTTGTCTTTCTACTGTCCACTCGAACGGTACTTTCTTCTGGGTCAAATCATGTAGTGGACGTGCTATGCGAGAGAAATTGCTGATAAACCTCCGGTAAAAGTTTGCAAACCCCACAAATTGCTGAACATCGCTGACATTTGCTGGTGTAGGCCATTCCGTTACAGCTTTGACCTTGTCGTTGTCCATCAAGATCTTGTTATGCGAAAGTTTCAATCCCAAGTACGTGATCTCCTTTTGAGCAAACTTGCATTTCTCCGGTTTCAACCACACATTTTGCTCTCGTAGTGTATCTAGCGCATCCTTCACCGCTTTTTCGTGATCCTCTCCAGGTTTGGTGTAAATAAGGATATCGTCCAAGAATGCAGCCATATCCCTTCCAATACGGTTCCTAAAAATGTCTTGAACAAAATATTGAAAGTACCCTGGAGCTCCAGTGGGTCCAAACGGCATGGTGAGAGGTTCGAATTGCCCTGCTTTACAGATGAATGCTAATTTTGCTTCGTCCCCTTCTCTAACTCGTAGGTTGTTATAGCCATTCCTCATGTCTAGTGATGTGAATCTATCCGCATTAAGCAAACTATCAACCAATTCCATTGTCAAAGGCAGGGGATATTTATTCTTAACTGTGAGTGCATTTAGTTTTCTGTAATCGAAGCAAGGCCGCAACTTTCCATCTTTCTTTCCCGTGAAGAGAACCGGGGCCGCCCATGGTGATGTCGTACGTCTGATCGTGCCTGTGGCTAATCCTTCT